TTTTACCAGATTATTAGTTTTTCCAATGCAAAAATTCTCTGTACTAACATAATATGAATTTTACGACAGACAGTAAGGAGGGATACTTGTGAGATCTGAGAGTGAAAGGGTTATTCAAAGTATTTTGTTACTGACAATAAATTTTGTTAATGTTTTTCTCAATCAGTGATCATGTGTAATAGTCTGACACAGTCTCATAGTTATTGCTCGATGAAATATATTTTAGAGATGGCTATTGCATTAAATTATCTGAACTATTAATTTAAAAATGAGGGGTGTATCAGAGGAGAAGTCTTAAAAGAGGGTTTGGGAAAAAGAAAGGCTAATAACTACAATGTCATTTCCCATACAATAATTTTCCAGATATGATGAAGACATTGAAATTGTTGCTGGAGCTGTTCCTAAGTTTGGCCGCCTGGTTGTTTGGGACAGTTCTGTTTCCTACCTTCCAAGGCCTCCCAGCATTGCTTTCAAGAAAGGCCAACTGCTTCTGCATGTTCAGTTCTCAAAATCAAAAGAAAAAATGCTGAAGAGCTATGCAGATGTAGCTGCATCAAAAGCTATACGTCAGGCTGCATATGATGCTGGTTTTATCGGCAGCGATAAGCCAGTACCAAATGACACTGACATTGAGAAGAGTTTTGTCTCGAGTTCTAAATCACTAGAAGGAAAGGAGATCCATGTGTTTGATGACCTGTTTGAAAAGGAAGATTTGGATCGGTTGCGAGCATTCATTTTCAAGCATGGCACATATTATTATGATGATAGTGATGAAGGTGATGATGACAGCGACAATGTCCAATGGATCGCAGGGTTTGAGATTGATGCATATATCAAAAGTAGACTGTGGAACATTATGCAGCAGGTAAGCTCTCTTGCTTGTTTAGGTTAAGTTGCCACAATTTGAAAATCTTCTTGTTCTCTCTCAATTCTTAAATTCTATTGATATCTAAAACAGGGATTACAAAACAAGCCAGCAATCATCAGAGTTCCACCAGCCACTTGATAACATGTCAATATACTCTTGTCAATATAATTACCTTTTGGCCCTTAACCCATTAACTCCCAGATTGAATTTGTAATTCTCCTTTCTGTCAACCATACAATTCTTATAATATTAGTTCAGAGAATTTAGTATCGGATCAACTGATTATCCCCAAATTGATATTTTTATTTTTCTTTACTCTCATCACTCATCTGGGCAATATTGTATTGATGTTGTAAGGAGAAATTCTGTCTTGGTCATTCATAGGAGTTAAAGGGTTCATGACTTTTTATAGTCACCTACTTTTGCAGTGTCTGCCACCATTAAAATATTTTGAAACCCCTGCTAAAACCACTTTGTCAATTAAAATTCTTTGCTAAAAAAAAAAAGAAAACATAAAAAAAGAGCTGGTTTGTATTTTAGCCCTTTATATCCCAAGATCTGATTGTTAATTCTCCCCTCTAGCTGCTAGATACAAGAATTTGGTGATAGATCCATATAAAAGTTTGAGGGAAAGTGTCATATTTACTTTGCAGACAAGTTTGATCTTGCATTGAGAGAAGCCAGCTAATTTTGTGTGCAGCACAAGATCTTTCTGCACAGTTAGATGAAGTTTTAAGTCTCTAAATTTTTCATCACTCCTCTTACAAAATCTAAAGAACCTTTTGAGGGTTCAATTTTACTTGTAACAAAATGCTATTCAAAGTGACTGGTGCCCATTGATACTACAGCGTAATGAGAGGCACAAAAGAGAGGCGAGAGTTAAGTGTGTTCAGTCCAAGCATGTAACAGATGACCCCAATCAAAGCTTGTGATGAAATCTTTTTATCTAGAGTCAGTCATGCTAATGAACGAATCATCTTTTTCCACATGTATACTCGATTTTTATATCAAATCTGACTCACAATTCACCATAACCTAAAACAAAAATGGATTATTAACCTTTAGAGTAACAAGCATCAAATTTCTCTGAACATTGTAACTCCATGATCACACATTATAGTCCCGAGAATAACAGAAATGGTTGCCAACTAATTAATTCTCCTTATCAGCACCTTGGGAAATGTATAGAGAACAGTATGGAGAATATGCATATTGATGTTAAGGTGTAAAGGGATAACAAAGACTTTGGTTTTTCAGACGTTAAAACATATAACAGGGCGCGACAAGTGGTTCCCTTACGACATCTCCTGTAACTTGATCAGGAGTGCAGACCACACCCGTATACACCAAGATTGTGAGCCACATGAAGATGAATGGACATACCTGATATATCTAACACCAAACTGGACAAAGAATGACTATGGAGAAACAGCTTTCTATGAGACAATGACAAATGATAACGAGATTATCACTGAGGTGCGACCTAAATACGGAAGGGCTGTTGTCTTTCAAGGTACTGAAATATAACTATGTTGATTTTTGTAATTGTTTTGGTGATGGATGTCGGAGAAGGGCTAAATTACACAAGGAGTAAAATTATGTGTAACGCGTGTCTGTTGTTTTTATGAAGGGATGTAGAAGTTTGGAGAAGAAAGATTTGCATCGGTTCCACCTCTGGCTGTGAAATAGCTCATGATACAAAATCAAATTTTTGCCAGAGAATTCTGTGTTGTGATAGGTTAATCATTATTTGATCTCTGATGCATAATGAACAAACTGTAACACAAAGGTCAATTTTTTTATCAAAATCCTTAGTAGTTAATAGTATAATATGTAAATGGTCAAGTCTGCCCAAGGAACCAATTTGCCGCTCTAGGAAGAGCTTATTCCGGTTTCTTAGTCACGCAAGCCCCAGATTAATGGGGCTTGAGTGACTAAAGGTTATGTTAGGCCCCTTTAGAAAGTTTTTATCGTTAATCGCTACCCGATACATTAAACCCGCGATTTCACCAAAAATATAAGGGCTGAGATGGGTTTAATTGAAACGTACTTGCGGAACAAAATTCTAGTTTTATCGGGGTGGGTATAGGTTTAGATATTTCAATAAGTACTCTGTGATTTTCATAGAGGAGTACCCCTAGGGGTTTGAGTCACCGTAGTGATTCGATTTAGCACCCGTGGCGCTTATTTACTTATGATACCTTTAGGGTCGGGCGCTTATTCGAAACAGGGTACTTGTTAGGGACAGGCACTTATTTTTATTATTATTATTAATGTGTAGAACAAACTTTTGACTGTTTTAAGGAACAGTTGCAGAAAATGTAAACGTAACAAGTATTTAGTGAACGTTTTCGCATAGTAATTGTAGGAGATGTACTCGAGTAGTGTTTTCGCTAAAACAAAATAGAGGCGCTTATTGGTAGGAGAGTGCTTACGAAATAGGGGCGCTTATCAGAGTAGGGGCGCTTATTAACAGAAAAAATTCAAGGAAGTCGCTTGTTAGAGAGGGACACTTATTGAATCGAATCAGTTACTGTATTGAGAGTTAACTGAACAAACAAGTAACAGCTGTTTTAGGTGCTTCAAAAAAAACACTTTCGATAACTAGCTGTGTATTCCCTTTGGCCCCAGGAATCATTCCTCATTCAGCAAGGCCGCCCAGCACAAACCAATCACATGCTCGCCTCACCTTTGTTGCCAAAGTGTCTGTGGATGAGTTTGTGGGCCGACACAAGGCATTCAGAGAGGAAATGAGGCACTATCAGGGTCTGGTGGAATCAGAGAGTATGCTAGATGCAATAGAACGAGGACTAGGTAAACTATCATAGACTATAAATGCTCAAACGAGTTCTCCTCTCTGGCACGCTCACTTTCACGTAAGATTCCTGTCTTGAGCTTGATGTTTGAAAGAATTCCCCTCGCTCTAATGAGAAACCTCTGTATAAGTAGCAATTTTAGAGTTCTTCTTGTGAAACAAGATGGACTTTTATTTTTAAACATTATCACAATTATTTCACGAAACTCGCACCATACATCGACCGGCTTAGATCGGTTTTTCTCGAAATCGCTTGCGGGACGCCACTGTTACGCTCACTTCCCGTTTCCGTTCAGACAAACCTGTTTTTAAATCGTTTCCATTTTGAATATCGTAGGCTTTCAACTAAAATAATGCATAATGCACATGGTAGTCTTATAAAGGGAAGACTACACAGAAGAATTTGGTGACTTGCTTTTTTTCCTTTAGAAAAGCTTTAGTAAGCCCGACCACGAGCCCATGACTTGGCCTAGCTAAGTCGCCCGCTTTGATAAACTTCCTTCTCTGATAAACCTAGACCACAAGCAGTCCCTCTTTTTCGGCAAAGTCCATCGTGCGAGTAAAAATAAAGTCAATGAAAAAAAAATAGACGTTAGTCCGCCTCGCGTAACCCTGGGAGTGAGGCGGACCAAAAGTACTTACTCTTGCTTTTTTTACTCGTGCGACTGACTAGGGACTTCTTCTTGTTTACAATACACCTTCCCCCTCCCCCTCGCATGCGTTATAGGCAATTTGCGAGTTCTCATGGGTTCCTTGTGATATGTTTCCATGTTCTGATTGGCCGTCTGGATTACTCTCAGTTGGTTTTGATTGACAACATCCCTTTGAAATTCGCTCAATAGTTCTTTTCTCGTCCGGCTAGATTTTGACCCAGAAGCTGAGGAAACCGAGCCTCGTGATGAGATGTCAGACGACAGAGGAGACTCAGAACCTGACGATGAAATGGAAGAAGAGGAAGAAAATGAAGAGAAACCCATCAAGATAGAAAAAGAAGCTGAAGAAAGAGTTATACACGAGGAGCAACCAGACCACCCAGTCCTTCAAGAACTAAACTCGCGTCTGGACGCAGTCGCGCAAAGTGGGGGCCTGGATCAGATGAGAAATCTTCACCGAGAATTACATGCAAGACATGTCACGGCACGACGAGAGGCTGTAAAACGAATTACAAATCTTATCTGAGGTATAAAGAAGTTTGGTAGTGTAAATATGGAAATAAACACAACGTAGTATCAACGGTGAAAGTGTTTTGGTTGACTGACGGAAAGTGAACATGTGTTTGTAAGTAACTCAGTCAAGCTGTGTCTTACGAAGATAGACGTTGAATGGCCGAAATCGAACAGTAAAGTCGAAATCAGGCGGAACTTTCCGAAATCGGACGAAACTGAAAAATGCACTCGTTTACAGCCAATCAGACACGCGTGATTTTTTTCATGTCTATAATTAAACTACCAACAATTATTTCTCTAATGGACGCTTTTTAGTTGACTAAAGTTTCACCAAATTTTGAAATATTCCTTAACAAAAGTTTTATGGTCGATAAAATTCTTTTGCGAACCGAAATGATTTTAATGCTTATAAAATAGTGATTGAAGATGTCTAGGTAGTTTTTCCAGACATTTTCTTCGTTCTTGTTTAGAAAGCTTGTTCTTTCTTGGGATACTTGAATGCGCCAGTATTATATCTAGTAACCAGGCCTTTTTCTAACTGAAGTGGGACCGCGCTCGGTGCCATGGAGATGTTACTCCCTTACTTGAATGTTGCCACCACAGGCAGACTACACTACGTGTTTGTAGTTAATAATTGTTGACATGTGACGACAAAATCTATTAGAGTTATGAATAAAATTGCATATCTAAATTACTTCTCGGTCTTATTATCTCAACAAACGAATCTGCAAGCGATCCTCGCAGTTATGAACACTACTTGAGTAGTTGTGAAAATAAAAGGCCTGAAAAAATCCAAAATCCCTAGGGACTAATTACCAATGCTAATTGAGTTAGCATAGTGCCACATATGGGACGACAAAGCACGTGCCACATACATGTTTGGTTATGTACAGATAAACGAAATCACGTATCGTACAGTTTCCAACAGGCCCGTACGGCATTAAACCCGTCATGGCTTCAAATCCTATGGAAGTCATGGGGTCTTATTTTAATTTTATTTTACACAAAGAGATACCGGCTACCACTCAAGCGAAACGGCTGAAATAATTTGAATATTTAAGTGTTGGTTGAACAACGAGTCGACAGGAATATTTATTTACGAACTTTGATCAACGAGTCCCAGATACAGAGCGGCTGTTAGTTACAGCAGTAAAATGGAAAGTAAAGGAAAAGGAGAGCAAGCCTCTTTGGTTTCTTCACCGAATTCTAAATCCACTTTGTGCCATCCATCGAAACTCGCTTTCAAAGCGTACTTTCTCTTCTTCTACGCCGCCGTTGGAAGCTCCTTTCCGTATTTGATGCTCTTTTTTAAGCAGCTGGGAATGAGCGCTGCAAAGGCTGGAATTCTGAGCGGAGTTAAACTGTTCTCTGAATTTATCGGCGGGCCGTTTTGGGGAACAGTCGCTGATAAATTTAGAATTCGAAAGATCATTTTATTTGCGTCTCTTGTGTCATTTTCTTCAGGAATTTTATTGTTTATGCCTTTTCCACCGAGAAATCAAGAGTGTATCGAGACAAGAGCGAACGGTACAGTGATCAAAACACCACTGAGTTTTACCACAGGAGAAATACGATACGATAAAAGTCATGAAGACGAGGAACAAAGCGTGGAAGATGGCGGGTTTCTCAACCATACGGGTCATTCAAATTTCACCCGTCGTATCGACGAAACCGAGATTTCACAGATATTTACAACTTTTTTAGTTATAACCATTAGCAGTCAAATCGTCGGCTCAGTAGTGTTCAATATGCCTGATGCGTTGGTCGCGGGTTTCCTCCAAGAGGGCATCAGTACGTTCGGATACTATCGGGTATGGGGCGAAGTTGGAGTCGCTATTGGTTCGTTCGTTGTCGGAGGTGTCATCAACTTTTACCAGTCGGAAGTGTGCGGCGAGATCGTGAAAAACTACTTCGTTTTATTTTATTTTTTTTCTGGGTTTATTTCACTAGCGATGTTCACCCTAATTTTCCTTAAGGCGACATATCCGGATGAGGACACTAATGATTCAAACTTGTGGCTTTTGGTAAAAGAACTTATGCGCTTTCATAACGCCATGTTCGTGGTTGTAGCTTGCTTCTTAGGCATCCTCGTAGGTTTAAACGAGTTTTTCGGTCTGTGGTACTTAGATGATCTGGGAGCAGAACCCTACATGTTGGGCCTGGCTTCCGGTTTGCGATACACAGTCGCCACATGCGGGTACACTCTCTCTAGAATAGTTATAGACAAATTCGGACACACATGCACCATAGCAGTCTGCTTGCTGCTCTACATTGTTGATTACATGAGTATGTCGTTCGTTCGGAACCCCTGGCTGGGCGTGGCACTGTTTAGCGCTCAGGGCTTCTTATACGGAACCAGCTGGTCTGCCTGTGTGGTTTTTGGTGGTACTGTGTCACTGCGAGTTGGTTTTTATTCAGCGACCCAAGGTAAGTGAATCAGAGACTTGAGTAACTTTGAGTGTAGAAGGTTACCTAAGATTGGGTTTAGTTTTAATTCATAAGATTACCATAGCAACGACACAGCTTCTCAGAAAAAATCGTCATTTTAGCTGCATGTGCTTGAAACTCGACAACGAGTTTGGCGACCACATTTTAATTATGCTCAATTGCAACCAAAAAAAAATTCGTCTTAATCCTTTAACTCCCGGATCAAATTTGTAATTCTCCTTACTGTCAACCGTACAATTCTTAAGATGTCACTTTTCTGGTTGATCCTAAATTGATATTGTAAGGAGAAATTCTGTCTTGGTCAGTCATGGGAGTTAAAGGGTTCATGAAGAGTTGAAAATTACCAACAGTTCAGAGCCACCTCAATAATTCTCATATCATTTTCAAGGAAACGAACGCACAAGTATGGTAGTATCTAGAAATCAAAGAATCTGGCTTTATATAAAAATAAGGAAGCACGCAAAATGGCTGTGACATCCTTGTTCCCAGGGTCCTCTCTCTTCCTCCCTAGAAGGAGAAAGAGAGAGGACCCTGGGAACGAGGTCAAACAGTTTCGTGCTTGGCATGCGCATGCCTTCGTTTCTAACTTCATATTTCTTTGCCATCAGGCGTCCTTGGCGGAGTTTACTGGGGCTTAGGAGTCGGCACAGGTGTTCTTCTCAGCGGTGTTCTGATAAACTGGCTCGGCGTTGCCAAGACCTATTTTGTTTACTCTGTGGTGACATTTATAGTTTTAGTTCCTTTTTCACTGGCTAACTTTTGGAACAGATCGAAGGATGAGAGAGGGAACAGTGACCAAGAATATAATTTATTGGCGAAGGAGACAGAGGAAAACCACTGATGACACTGAAGTGCTTAAAAGTTCTTACACCAAAAGCGTGTCGAGGTATCGCCAACTTACACCTACCCGCAAGTTTCTTACGTCTGTCGAAAAATATTTCCGCTACTACAGCGCCACTACGACCTTGACTGACTTTTATTACTTTTTTTTTAATCATCTTCTTCTCTTTAAAGTTCAGGAAGTAAACTATAGCTATAGTTATATCACCATACCGTGAGGTTCTGGTCGACATGTTTTTTTTTGGCCGATTTTTTTTCCATCGTGCGTCTTCGAAAAGGAGGAACTGCTCGTCTAAACATAGCATAAATGATCCTCTTAAAAGGGCAATTTTTCCCAATCAGATAAGTAACAACTGCGGCTGCTTAGGGGTACCGTTAACACTCGCGAATTTTTCCCAACAATAAGTTTATTGTTTCCCAATCAGCTTGTCAATTAGATAAACAACGTCGCTTAAGAGTACTGTTAACACTCCTAAATTCATTCGAAAATAAGTTCGCAAGACAAGACTATCCTGGTCATCTTAATTCTACGAATAAAATCCTATAGTACTTTGTAAAGTCTTGATGCCAATGAATGTTCTTTCACGAACAAGCTCAGATCTCAATCCTCACAGATTCTCCAGAACTGGCACTCCCCATTAAATCTCTAGACACTAGAAAGTCCAGTTCACGATTTTTTCGCTCCACTACGTAGCATTTTGATTTTCCGAGGCAAGAACAGTCTGCAGAACCGTTGCTGTACTTTCTGCAATGAGGCAAGCTAGGGGTTTGGGCGGAATTTGGATGGCGAAACGATAATTCAAGACCGCTACTATGACGGGAAATACCAATATTAATGTTGTCCGCCGACCTTTTATGTGCACTGTTACCATTTGACCATCTTGAGTCTTTGCTTTCTCTTCCCAATCCCTTTTCAATTACTTTCTGTCGACTTCCGTCTGTCATCGAGTCAATAAGATCCAAAATGTTTTGGAAATGGTTTCCAGTCTCTCTCCAGATTGTGGGTTTTGAGTGTTGAAAGACCGCTCCGTTATTGTTTAAGGAGGCGCACATTTCCGATTCTTGTTCGAACATTTCCAGCTCTTCTGGATTAAAGTCGAGAGGCTTGATATATGACGTGGGACCAAACAGAATCTGAAATGCATTTTCTTGTTCGCCATCCTCGTCAACTAAGCTATCCGATAACCAGAAGCTGCCGTGATTTGCACTCGCGGTGGCTGTTACGAGGAAAACAGTTGATGTTACAAATTCTGGAACATAATTGGCCGATGCGAGTGTATAACATACGGCTTTCGTACATAAAAACTTACTTCCCTTTTTTTAAAATTTCATGACTTTTAAAAGGTAACACTTCCTTAGCATTACATAATTGTATCATCTTTCACTTGAAAACTTGTTTTGATCTATCACGTCCCCATTTTAGATAAAAATAGTTTTTCTTATCACCAATACTATCAATTTTCCTTTCAAAAATTGCCATTTAGTTAGTGCAGAGAAACCAGTTTGAATGGTGAACGTTTTCTTAGCTCAGTCTTGCAAGTGGCAGAATAGATTCGTATTTCTTTACATTGCTGCACATGGCTCTGTATCACACTGTTGTTTAATCACTTAAACTAGTCTCTGGCTGGGGCTAGCTCGAAATCTCTAGGCTCCAATAATAATTAAACTATGCTTTAAATTTTGCGTGTTACCAAGTTAACTGTAAACAATTTGACTTTATTCCAATTTAATACCATTCTTATGAACAATGAGAGATTCGTTGTTATTGTTTTTAACCCTTTAATGTACGTTATCATCCAAACAGCTCAAAATTTATAAAATAACACATAACTTACAGTTTAGAGTGTGGGACCGTGCGCGTAAAGACCTTTGCCGGCGACAACATTTTGCCCCAGGCCACTTGAGAGCGCGGATGTAAGCTCGTCTGAACGGGAGCCACATGATCCCGTACAACGCAGGATTCAGTAAACCACTGACCATTGGTATCTGGGTCGCACACAATCCAAAAAGAGAAGGATATCCAATTGAAAAAATACCAAGACATAAAGCTACCTAAAAAAAAAAAGAGAGAAAGAAGGTTTCTAAACGAAGAGAACAAAATTATGAATCTACTTTTTATATTTACATATTTATTGATTTCCCAGACCGATTTCTAGTTCATGAATATTTGAAATATGTATTCGTTGATGAGTTCAAATGAACGCTATTGATCCCTTTAAGAAGTCGTTTTAATTATTGCGACCGTACTTTCAAGAGTCCCGAGCTTTATTTCTCAACCTGCTCATATCTGCGAGGCCTACGAAAAATCTCCCTCCTGAAGTTTACATTTAATATGATCCATTAGTTCATAAATTTAATAATGATATTTAAACAAAAAAAGGTAAGTAAGTTGTGCGGTTACTTTATAATCTCAGGTAAATGGTGCTTTTCGCGCGCGCTGATTGGCTATTTCGGAAGTGAATAGCAAGTACTATTCATCTCCACTTCGGTGAATAATTATTAATTTTTCTGTTGACGTAGTGCAAAAACGAGATTATATTTGAGGAAAGGGGCTTATAAAGGAAAACACTGGTTATTATCATTTAATCGAACGGCCTAATGAAGTCTTACGTAGTTTGTATGTATTCTTTCACAATCGAATATTTTTGGAAATAAGTAAGAAACGTTTTATTCAAAGAAAGACTTTTGGCATTTCTTTATCGACACAAAGTTAAACTAAAAAGAAACTTTAAATGGTGAAGAAGTAAAAACTAAAAAGGAAAACTAATTTTGCCGATACTTACCATCCATGGAAGAAGAGAACAGAAGTAAACCACGGCTACCAATACAACCAGGCGAGAAAACTCTTTCGAGCTCGCGAAAATGTCTTTCTCTGCAATAAGCTGTCTTGATGAAATATCCATGTTCTCGTGTTTTACATTCTTTGTATCGAAAGATTTCTTGCCAGCCATACCAAATATTGCATAAAAGCAAAAACAGCTGATCATCAACAAAAAACAGTGAAGCAGAACAAAAAATTGCGCGAAGGGACTGTCATGGGGGAATAAACAAAACAGCCCTCCGGAATCGCTGGAAACTTGAAAACCTTCGAGCCATAACAGAGGCCATGTAGCAAGAAACGTTGCACTGATCCAAATGCCAAAGAAAATTATGATAAATAATTTTCCTTTCCAGTGTTTGTGGTAAAACTGTGGCAAAGTTGTCACAAAAACTCTATCTAAGGTTAAGACGAAGACTAGTATTGTCGCTACGATGCGAAAGAACACCATTAGCCAGGCTTGAACTCTGCACAAGGTGAAAAGATCTTTCAATTCGCTACTTTTGTCCAAAATCGCGTACAAAGCAATTCCGTTAGGCCCGAGCACGTTGAAAACTTCCGTGAACGAAAGAGATACGATTAGTAAAGTGTACGTGTTTTTTCTTCGGGTGAATTGTAAGATGCTTACGATCGTGAACGAGTTTCCCACAAGAATAAGGACAGAACAGACAAACAGGACCACAGCAAGCGAGATGTGAGCCTCTGCAGTCTCAGTTGGTAATTCTCGGTCTCCATTTGTGCTTATGAGTGCCATGATGTTGAAGTTCTTGGCGATGGAGCTAAGTTTAATTTTGCAGATGATCCAATTCTTCTGTAGAAATATATTTGCAGATGTTGTTTGCACATTCAGACAAAACAAATATTACAAGCTATGAGAACAAATATCTTACTAGCGCAGAAAATCGATAAAGAAACTCGGCTATTTTCTACGTTACTTACTAAATACCCTTAGCAAGTACTCTTGGTGATGTGAAAAATAACCTTGAGCTTGAATAAGTGAGTCTCAATGCCGAGATATTGCTGCGATTTTCATAATATCATGAATTTTTACGGAATTTATTGTTGTTGTTTTTTATCTGTGGTTTTATGTGCGAGAGTTTCTGGTTGGTCGATAAAATTTTTCATTGTGATAATATACAATACGAAATTCCGTTGATAATCTGATAAGTACAGACAGATGAGCTGTCATTGTGGTGAATTCATCAGCAATTTCTTCTATGCTGTCATACTCTGGAAATTACGAAATCTGTGTTTTCCGGAGCGAAACGTCCGCTTAGAATCGAAAAGATTAAAAAATAAAGCCTTGCTTTCCTGTGGAACAAAAAGATAAAATTCAGCGACGTTACATTTACATGAAAATTAATAAATAATTACGTAATGACGTATTGCGAATCTTGAGTAAAATTTGCGTTTAATTTTTGAAAAATAATAGATATTTCCCCCCTGCTTATGCTGGTTTTCTTTTTATGAGCTCATAAAATTTAATTTATCTTGTGGGGAGTTTTTATAACTCGTTATGGTGCGTTCGTTTAACTCAGTCCGTACTGTCTTCATGATAAAACTTTATTCAAATAGCGCTATTTCTATCGCTAGACAATAGCGCTTTACAATAACTGAAATAAACACAAAGTGCTTGAAAATCCCAACTGGCAGGAGGCAGAGCAGTTTACTATTTTCGCAGTGCAGTCGAGGAGTTGAACTCGAGGCGACTGAGAAAAAAATCCAGTAAATGGCAGGGTGGAGGACTTGAACCCGGGACCACTAGTTTACAAGTCCAGCACACATACCACTCGGCCACGCCAAGCCACGCCTTATGATTTTTGCGAAGTTAATTCATAAAAATTTGGTATTAGATTAACTAATAATCCTATTATTGATATCTTTCTTTGCTTTCGCCTCTTCTCTGCTTGCTATTGTATTGATATTGTAAGGAGAAAATCTGTTTTGGTCACTCATAGAAATTAAAGAGTTAAGAGAGATAATGACTGCAATAAGAGGTAATTTGAAATCGTTAAAATGTAAAACAAGCTGAGATGAATTTGCAAAATTCTCAATTATTGACTTTCAATTTAATTCATAGTTTCTCTAATCGAGGACTCGTCTTACCGCGACAAAGAGGGCGAAAAAAATGTCGGCACACTCCCACATGCTCATGTTGTGGTTTGACCTTTGTCAAATTTCCGCTTTCCTTTATCTGTTTCATACTCACTACCGAACAAAATGAAGGGTTAAAATTTCCATTCTCCCTCCCTCCCCCCTTAAATTTTCCTTCCCCCTCCCTCCTCCTTCAATTTCCCTTCCCCTCTTCCTCCCCCCTTAAATTTTCCTTCCCCCTTCCCTCCCCCTTAAATTTCCCTTCCCCCTCCCACCCCCCTTAAATTTTCCTTCCCCCTCCCTCCCCCTAAATTTCC